GTTGGTGTCCACTGACCTACAGGATCTATATAGAATCGTCTTACAAATGAAATACCCACCCAGGGAAGTGAAAAAACGGATCAGAAAAGTACCCAGACATGAGCTACTTCCAGGCATGCCAAGAACAGAATTCCACTTGTCATCACCTTTAGCCCATAACTTAAATCCCTCCAACACATTATCAACAATCTATAACCTATCTTGGAAAATAACCCTTCACACTTACAGGCCTTGGAAAAAGGCCAATCCTTGCCTACAAACAACCCCCTAATCCCAAACAAATTCTTTCCAGTAACCACGCAGCACATCTCCATCATAATCATTCAAGAACTCAACCCTGCAATCAGCCCCAGTGCCAACTCTGTCCATATATCTACACAGACGATTTCAACACTGGACCCAACCACATCAGGGGCTCATTTAATTGCACATCCACTAATGTGATCTATGCCATTAAATGCCAGCAATGCCCTCTGCCATGTCCACTAATGTGATCTATGCCAGCAACGCCCCTCTGCCATGTATATTGGCCAAAACTAGGAAAGGATTAATCCAAAAAGGCAACACATAGAAAGCTGTTGGAGAACACTTTAACCTGCCAAGGCACTCATTAAAGGATCTCAGAGTTACCATGTTGTTTCAGGCCAATTCCACAAGCCAAAGACACAGAGAAGCGTTTCAGGCCAATTCCCCAAGCCAAATACACAGGGAAGCGTTGGAACTTAACTCTGTTTACAAGTTTGGGAGCCATCACAAAGGTATGAATAAAGATATTACCTGGCTAGCACACTGCCTTCCACATCCTAATGACTTGACCAACCAAACAATGGGTACTTAAGAACAATTTTCATCTTCTCTATCAGCTTCTTGTAAAATGATCACTCTAATTCACTATTTTTTCCCTTCTTTCCCCCTCCAAACTACCACCTATTTATTTTGGAACTGGACTTTTAATACGCCATTCACCTGAAGAAGTGTGTTGTACCCACAAAAGCTCATAATACCATCTACATATTTTGTTAGTCTTTAAGGTGCTGCTAGACTATTTGTTGTTTTTTAAGTTTTTCCAGTTACAGACTAACTCAGCTGCCCCTCTGAAGTAATACTGAAGTAAGAAGAACTTCAACCTCCTTAGCTTTTGATTTTGTTGTATACTTTTAGCATGACAACTAATGTATGGCTGACTTATGAGTTAATATTAGAAAATACCTTGTCAATCAATACTTGTAGAGCAGCATGTATACACACAATTCTGTTGAGATCAGAGCAGCCAAAAAATCCAATCTGCAAACATAGTGGTCTCTCCTTGATTTTACTGTCGTAAGTGGAGTCAGCATTTGTCTGTTATTTATAAGTCACTATTTATTATTACATTAAATGCAGTTTTAACATACTGCCACTACCATAAAATGAAAAATTCTTAATTCTAAACTAACTTACAGGCAAAAAGGTATGTTTTGGAATAAAATTGCTTTGTATGACACAGGTCTGTACAAATGCGTATGAGAATGATGTTTTAGTACGTAGGTCCCTCTTTCAATCACAGAAATTTATTGCTGAAAGGGACCTTGAACATTCATCTAGTCCAACCCACTGCACTAAGGCAGGACCAAGAAAATCTAGATCATTTTGCCCAACCTGTTCTTAAAAACCTTCAATGACAGGATTGCCAAGCACTCTGTGGTTAGCTACCCTAGCCAGTCTGAAATGGTGAGACCACTTTGGGCAGGAAAGCCAGATGTGGCCATAGCTAGGAAACTGCATAGGGTGGTTCTGAAGTAAGCACCCTAATCTCAGAGACAAGGTGGGCAGATGAGGGCAGGAGAAGAAGCCAGAGGCTCAAAGGGTAGGTCCCGTGAGCTGTGATAGCATGGGATTCAGGTCCCCTGGGTTACAGGATCCCTGGAATGCAGGTGGAGGTGCCTGAGACTCATGTCCAGTGTTCCCTGCGCGCTCACAGCTGGCAGCATGTATTTCTATTGATAGCGCACATCTGCACATACCTCAATGTACATAACACAATTTATTCCTCAAATGGAAGGAAAAAATTATTGGGAACACTGGTCACGTCCTGGGTGAAAACAGAACTACTCCTGAACAGACCCGGACAGTTGAAAGGGACAGTCTTAGAGCCTCTGATGCAGAAAGATAATTCAAGATCAACTGCAGCAAGGCTTGCTCAATCAAATACCTTTGTCCGACGACCAACAATTGAACCACTTCCATTTGGCCATATGCACTGTTGGGCTATGTCTACAATACACAGTTATTTCAGAATACGTTATTCCGGAATAGTCACTCCGAAATAGCTTATTTCAAAATAGCACATCTACACTGCAGGGAATCCTCAAAATTAGTCTGAGGCAGGCTTCCCTAATGTAGACATGCTATCTTAATTTAGAGCTCCATGAGGAATAACTTACAATGGCCCTGGGAAGGGACTATTTCGAAATAGCAGAAGTGAAGCGTCTACACACGCCTTATTTTGAAATAGCTGTTTTGCAATAGGCATTTTTCATAGAATGAGGTTTACAGAAGTCGGAACAAGCCATACATTATTTCGAAATTATTTCAAAATAACAAAATTGCTGTGTAGACACACTCCAATTGGAGATTTTTGCTTTAGTGGTGTCCGCAGGGTCAGCTGCAGCATCCCCCTTGCTAGATGTAACTCATTTTGAGTCTCAGTCTTTCTGATTTGCTCTCTACAAGCTGTGGTAGGGTTTTTTTATGTATTCCTCCAAAGCAATTTGTCCTTGATTCTACATTCTGTAGGACTTCTTTCTGAATTTCAGTTAATTAAAGAGCTCCTAAAGGAGCCACAATGGCCTCTTGCTCTTATCTTTCTTTTGCTTGGAATAGTCTGTTGTTGCACATTTAATCTCCTTGAGAAAATGCCAGCTCTTCGACTACTTTATCCCTCAGATTTTCTTCCCATCAGACTTTACATACCAGTTCTGAGTTGGTTGAAGTCTTCTTTTTTGAAGTTTGCTGCCCCTATTCTACTTCTCTCATTCCTTTCTTTCCTTGGAATTATGACATCTATTATTTCATGATTGATTTCACCCACATTGCCTTCAACCTTAGCTTCGCAACCAATTCTTGTTAGTGAGAATCAAATCTAAAAAATGTCCATCTCCCAGGTACTTGCCCCAGCCTATCAAGTTTTGCCCTATTCAAGCAGTAACAGTAATACAGGCAGTCCCCAGGTTACGTACAAGATAGGGACTGTAGGTTTGTTCTTAAGTTGAATTTGTATGTAAGTCGGAACTGGTACATATTGTAGGAGAAACTCTAGCCAAACATTTCTCCAGAGCTCAGTTTTATTCTCCCACACCTCACTTCCCTCAGTCCTTTATTCTCAGGCTGAGGTGTCTGCTGAGAAAAGCCACTCCGCGTCTCCCTGGTCTGCTGGCGGGGTGGGAGGGTGCTAGCTTCGCGTCTCCCTGGTCTGCTGGGGGGAAGCAGCTAGTGCGGGGTTGCCTCACCCCGTTTGTAAGTAGGGATCCGATGTAAGTCGGATCCATGTAACCTGGGGACTGCCTGTACTTTAGTAATCTAGCTTCAGTTGCATTTGTATTAGCTCCTTGGTATCACTCTTCATAAGATTAGCCACATTTTAACTTTTCCCACAAATTTAGGGTGAAGTTTTTATCAAATGATGAAATTTACATCTGTAAATAAATTTACCAGTGGCTTGTATGCATATGTATAGTACTTTAGCTTTCACTAAAAACTGGTTCCACTAGCATATATATCTTTTGTATAAACACACACAAGCAGTTGCATACTTACAATTGGAAATCATTATTCACAAGTATAGGATTAATACACTAAGATCCTTTGCTGAAATGTGTTAATTATAAAATCTCTTACATGGTGTAAGTATGATTGTACATTTTACTAATTGAAAAAGAGCTTCATGTGCAAGTGTTCTGCACAAGTTTTCATATATGAGAAAATTTAGAGTTCACTCTACTGAAATACAAGTACCTCTGTAAAGATTAAATTTGTGTCAGTAAACATCTATTTCATCATACACATAAACCAAAAAAAATATTTCAATTTATAATCTAGATGTACAAAGAAAAATGCTGCATAAGAACTTAAAAGTTCAATTTACAAAAATTTACTTTGTATCTTCTGACATGATACTAACAATCTGAATTTTAAGAGTGTAGTTATAAAGCTAATTTGTTGAATCTCAAAATCTACTGTCATTAAATAGTCTGCCACATCCACAATATCAATTTAAATGTTTATAGTCGGGAAAAAGTAAAAAATACTTAACAAGTTTTGATATTATTCATTAAAATTAATCAGATACAATTTAAAACTGCCATGCCTAAATAAAAAGATTAATATATTCCAATCTAGTATACAGTAAGTATACATAAAGAATATCTTTGTGTTTTGCATCAGCCTACCACAATGCAGTCCTGGTCCATGACCAGTCTCCTAAGTGCTACAAAATACAAATAATAATAATACTGTACACAATATCTGAATTCTAGTAGCAAAACTGATGAAATAAGGATGTTCATTTAAAACTAAGTAGTTAGGATTAGTTATGTAAAGTACGAAACATGAAATGAAACCAAAAGGCTAACTAGATTTCTCATCTTACCTCACACTTTGGCCCATCTGGAATTTTTTAGACTCTTGAAAAAAAATGTGTAAATTAACTGAAATGTTCATCTGTTCAAATGTCATTACAACTAAATATACATTCTGTTTCTCAAGGTATTTACTGCATGTGAAAGTATACCTGCTAACATCATGCTATATTAAAAACTTTCAGAGCAATTAGTTAAATTAAAATTAGTACATGTGTCTGCTTCTGAAATATGCTGTAAAGCAAACAAACATTTAAAACTAACTTTCCTTTTTCTTTACTTCCCTCTTTGGGCTATGTATGACATCCATTTTCCATCTTATTTAATGTTTTTATTTAGTTTAATAAGATCCATTAAAAGCTGATTTAAAAAGTAAAAAGAAACCTTTTGTACAGGCTTGGTTTGCAAGTCTCCGTTCTCTGAAAAACTCAAGTCCAGTACTCCATCATCCCTTTGCCCAATAGCCTTTAGACCTTGCAAAAGTATTTCTCTGAAGTGCTGATAAAGAGGTTTCTCTTCATAGCTCAATAACTTCACCTTTTCCATGTATTTGGCTATTTCACCTGAGGAAGTGGTACATAAAATCAATTTCTATTTAAAATAGTTGGTAGTTAAGAAATTATCTAAAAATGAGATAAAATTAAGCATACATCCTTTTGAGGGTTCTTTGATATGGATATTTAAACATAACATTAGCTGCTTAATACAACATATTTTAGAAATAAGAAAAAAAAATCAAACTAGGGTTCGCTAACAAATGATCAAAGCACCACTTTCCACATTCATTACAATGAGGGACATATTCAGCCTTTAAAAACTGGTTTTGAATATGCTTATCTTCTCTTCAGTGAGCCTTTTATTCAACTGATATTTCTTCCCAGCATTTAAGATCATCAGCTACATATGAAATAAGAGCCTGAGCCTAGAACTTTGCAAGGTAAGTCAAGAGGAAACCATTTTTCATTGATTTTAGTTTAATCAAATGCAAGCAATTTTTACCATTTCACCTTTCAAACTATGGTTGGTAAAATACTAATGAACAGGAAACAATCCTGTATTGACAATAGGATTGGATGATCAAAGAGAATTTTTCCAGTTCTAATTTCTGCAAAAAAGCATTTATAATTAATGTCAGGACTTTGAAAATCAACTAACCAACTCTCACATGGAAGTTATAAACTTTCCCAAACAAGTGCTTCTTGGGAATCTAATCTGATTACCAAAAATAATTTCCAGCCCTTACAATAGCAAAGATGTGTTTTCAAATATGAAATAAGCATGATCCAGTTTGCAGACTAAACTAGTGATTACTACTTTTCACATCCTTCGTATAATAGAAAGAAAATTTACCTGCCTTGTAAATTTAACTACTGCTTTCAAAATTTTTATCAGTTTTACTTTACTGTTATCTGGGAAAGCAGAGGCTTCAGTCATGGGAAAGAACTTAAAAAGAGTGTGTCTACACAGCAGCTGAGTGGTAGGATACAATAGACAGACTCCATTAACATGCTAAAAACATTAGTGAGAACATTGCCACCAAGGTGCAACCCAGACAACCTGTGTCTGAGCTTGGGCAGCTAGCCTAAGCCACTGTACGTGCTGAAAAATCCACCCTGTTATTTTTGGCATACTAGTACAAGCTGAGCTAACATGAGTCTGTCCACCATACCAGGAATCACACCTAGCTGCAAGTGCAGATATAGTCAAAGAGGCAACAGGAGGAACAGAATAGCAGAAACACTCCTCCCAGATGGACTAGATGCTGACAACAATCTGATACCAACTAAATCTTTCCAAACAGCTGAATTGTCATCTGTCTGTGTTGGTATGCAACTCCATACAGAAGAAATTACTATACATACCCAAATATTGAAGTAGTTACTGCTGCATGAAAATAGGCACCTCAGATATGCTGTGAGTGCATTCCTGGGCCTAACTGAATAACCTGCCCCTCAATTAAAGTTAGCTGTTGCATGGTAGAGGTGGCAAAAGGTGGAGGTTTACCTTTTTTGAGAGAAACTAAGGATTAAATGTTCGTCTCATGCAGTAAAGCCGTACGTAACTAATATTTAAAAAACCTCTTACCTGGTTTTTCTGTCTCAGGAAAGCACTTGTTCATCAAATCTGTAATATTCTCACTATATCTGAGGGGAAAAAAGTGTATAGAGTAGATTAAACCACAGATAAATTATATTTAATGACAATTGCAAAATTGCCAATTTGTCTCTTTCAAAATATACTGTATTAAAACATTTAAAGAGAAAGTTTTAAATGCTGTCGTAAATAAAAAGGAGTTTTAATGTTTTATAATCCTTTTCTGATAGTTCTTTCGTTTTGATTCTGTAACCTTTTATTCTCGTGTCTGTGATTATAGCAAGGAACTTGAAAATTGGAATGTTCAATTTTGTTTCTATGTAACTGGCTCTTCGCACTACAATACCTGTGCCAGTCAAGGGAATCCACTTCTGTAAAGTGCTTTGAGATCTTTGAATAAAATGTGCAATACAAGCTCTTTAAATTCTACAGGATTCTTGTGACCACGTGATCTTCACTTCACCCAAACAAGGACATGATTTCTGCAGGGCCAGCTGAGTCTCTGCTGAATTGCAGTACTACATTGTTCCTGTGAAATTGACTTGATAAGCTAAAGAGACATTAAACCCAGATGCGAGAGAAGTAAAGGAATATATATAAAATACAGATCTATATAAAAATTGAAAGTCTTATATTTAGAGTAAGTTTTATCTTGAGAGTCTTTAAAGTGAAATGAAACTTTAAAAAGGCAAGCTGCATGATCTATAGCCCAGTTCCAGGTATTACTGTAAATTGTCTGTTTGAGACAACAGTGGTCATAGGTTATTTTTAATAAAATATATAAAAAATATAAATTTTTCATACTAAAGTTTCCATGAATATGTCAAAGACTTTTTGCTCTGGTAAGGTCATGCCAGCTTCCTCAAATGGTTTCATGTCTGCCATTTTTTTATATTTTTGGGTAGCTAACAGACTTTGAGGCCCAGTGGTATGTAAGACCCCAGATATTTTTAGAATTACTAGTTTAAAAGAGATAATTTCCAGAATTGACATAAGCTAATGACCTAATTCAAACCCGATTGCACCATGTTGCTGCATGGCTCCAAAACAGACCTTGGAAGGAGATGATGCTAAGATGAGTAAGCAAAGTTTGCAAACTATAATAATCAAGGGGAAAGCCAAGAAACCGTGAAGGATTAGCCACCATACAAGAACAGAATTATAAGAAAACAATTAGCTTGGAGCTGAGAGTCAGTTATTAGATTTTTCATGTCATTATTGAGTTTTTAAACCAATACTGAAATGAAAATACCTAATAACTGACTATTTCTAGAACTAACTTGATGATTTAACCAATTTTATGACTTGCTTCCAATCCAATGTTGAAACTAATTTATTGATTTGTTCCTGTACTGGTTTATTCTTATTTTAGTTTAATAATAAAAGTAGTGTAGCTTTACTAATGTTTAGTTTGTTTTTCTTGAAGTATTTTAATATAATATATTAAAAGGTGCACTTTATTCAATAAGCAACGTGGCAGACATGGCTGGATAGATCATCTAGTCAATGTAAAAGCCTTTGGCTCTCAAACCAACCTCTCCAAACTATATACAGAGGGGAAATTGTGACTCAGAAGGTATTCCATTTTAATCTCTCAAATACAAATTCCTTTTTCCATCCATGCATTGACAATCTCTGCTCTAGCCACTGCTTCTTAGAGCAATTACCACTACTTGTCCTTGCACTGCTGCCACTTTTCAGATCAACAACTAGAAGAGGAGAGAAGATACTGCTCTAAAAAACATTGAGGCAAGTGCTAACAGAAGGAACAAGAAGCTACTCTGAGTAGCGACTGCCAAGGAACGGTAGCAAAAGCAATACTGCCAGCACCTGACAGAACTTACTCTGTGCTAACATGGAGAACAGTGAACACAGGAAATGAGGGAGGATCCAGTGATTAGAAAACTGAACATGGCTCTCCATACTCCCTAATCTGCCAAAGATTTCCAGTGTGACTTCATGTAGGCTATTTAGTCTCTGTGCCTCAGTTCCTCATCTGTAAAATGGGGACGACTGTGAAGTAGACCAAGCACTAAGTGCTGTCAGGATAAATACATTAAAGATTGCACGGTGTTCAGAGTAACAAGGGATAACAAATATACTTAAAGAATCTTAAAAGGGATAGGACATTGATGAGTACAAAAGTTAAAGGGTATAGCTGGACAAGGCTTAATTATTATCTTGAAATGGTGGGATAGGAACAAAAGTAAGCAAATGTACTCAAAAAAGAGCAAGGTGGAGGTTGAAAGGGACATTGCAGTGTTATCTCAATTTCAGCCAGCAAGAGTAAACATAGTATTACCCAGCCACTCACAGATGATAAAGGATTGTTTATGCGCACACAGTATTGCTACACTGAAATATTTTTTTTATTTTTGCTTCAGTTTCAAATGAGAAAACCTAAGTTCCTTACCTAATTTTTGAATCTCTGACATAGTTGGGGTCTTTTAAATTGTCCTCCCATGGTAGATGGCCACTGAGCCAATGAATCATACAGTAACCTAGAATTTCCAAGTCACCACGTCTTGATGGAGCTACAAATACATACACAAATTTAAAGTTAAAAATTGAAAACATAGTAAGACAACTGGAAGCTAGTGCTAACGGCATTTAACTACAGAATGCTTCAAGTTCATTTCAGAGGGAAGCAGGAAGGAATGAAAAGAAGTAGTATTGCTCAAATGACTGGAATACTGATAAAGGAATTTGCAATTACAGGCAGTCCCCGACTTCTGAACGGGTTACGTTCTGAACACCTGGTCGTAACTTGATTTGGTCATAAGTCGGAAACACACTTAAACGTGCTGCCCACACTGATCGAAAAACTTGACGTACATGGTTCTCAACTTGAAAATATTGTAATGGGGTTAATGGTCATAAGTATGGATGGTCGTAAGTCGGAGAGTGGCGTAATCTCTTTCTTCTGCTCATGAATGTGAAATGCTGCAATTATCTCAATTTTGAAGCATTTTAAGACCTCATGGACTTTTCTGTTCAAAATATTTTTATATCCCCTTTCCCCAAAAACAGTGAACAGAGTTAAAAATGAGCTCTTCAAATTATTATTCCACAAATGGAAATATTTCAGATACTCTGAACACTGAAATGTTGCTTGCCGAAGATTCAGAAATTCTAGATGTTGACTAGGGATGTGAAAGACTAGTTGACTATCAGTCAAGCAAATGCTTATTGGATAGTCGACTAGTTGGTTCCTCACCCCTCCCCCTTACTGCCTCTGTGGGGGGGGGGGGAGGGTATTTCAAAGCAACTACATATGACCCCGGGCTCTACTTGGCACTGCCACTTTGAAACACCACGTGCAGCCCAGGGTGCAGCTGAGGTATCCCCAGGCTCCTTGTCGCGTTTCAAAGCAGCAGTGCGCATGGAGCCCGGAATCAGCTAGGGAGTCCCCTGCTGACCCCGGGCTCCATGCAGCACTTTCACCTTTGAAGTGTAGCACCAGCCTTAAGGCCGGTGCTACACTTCAAAGGCAGAGGTACCTTATCGACTAATCGAATAGTCGATGCAAAAATGCATTGACTATTTGATTAGTCAATATTTAACATTGTTAATGTTGGCAAGACAAGGGATGTAATAAATTTTTTCACATATTCCACAAGATATTGATTAAAATTTTATTTAATATATCAACAGGAAAATTGCATGTAAGATCTGAGTCAATTTTTATCCCAGGTGAGAATTTACATCCAAACCAGTTTAATTTTTAAATTAATACTTGTTCAAGATATCAAAAAAATTTCCTAAATATTCAGACATGACAACACTTCTACTGCATTTCTACTTTAAAACTATGCTCTGAAGTGTTCCTAGCCTCTGTTTGCCAGTAACTTGAAATGGGAAATAGAGGATGGATCACTTGATTGACTATTCTGTTCATACCCTCTGATGCATCTGGTATTGGCTACTGTTAGAAGGCACTTTGTTTGGCTAGTTTATACCATCCTTGGACCACTGGGCAACCCAATTATGGCTGTTCTTATGTTCTTCATCGATTAAAAGCCATGTTACTAATTAAGGATGTTAAGAAGTGAGTAAATGACTCATCACATCAACTAATTGTGTGGACCACACGATTAGCTGATAAGGGGCCCTGTTGCAGCTCTGCTGTTTAAATGTAGTAGGAGCCAAGGAGCACAGGCAACCCAGCTTCTACTACATTTAAACTGCAGGGCCTCAGTGGGGGTAGGTTCAGAACCCAGCATGAGCTGAGACTGAGCAGTCCCGGTTCACACTATTTCCCGAACCGCTGCACCTCTGCCTTCCCTCTCCTCTCTCGCCCTATCCACGGTGGAGACTGTGTGCAGAAACGGGAGGAGGGACTGGCTTTTAAGCTGGCTCCCCCAGAACCAGCTCCTGCTTTCTACCCCTCCCGGCTTTCACCCGCTTGCTGCCTCTGATACAGGCTTACTAGGGATGTAAGCAACTAGTCAAGTAGTCAACTACCCAATATACCTAGGCTTATTGGGAGTCAAGTCACTACTCAACTACTCACTCCCCTCACCACTGCTGCCTCTGATCAGTAGTAGTCATATCAGGTAGTCGACTACTTGACTAGTCGCTTATATCCCAAGTTACTATGTTTAATATTTTTCACTTTTTGTTTTATTATTTTCAATGGAAACAGATTAGACTTAAAGGAACACTGAATCCATCAAATAGGTGTATATTTTCCCTTTAGAATCATCTCACATTTGTCCACTTACACAGTTAGCATCAATTTAATAAAGGTCTCATACTAACAGATACACATGATCAATCTTAAGAGATTTGATAGGTTTCTTATTCAAAGGAGATCTAATCTTTTCTATATGAAAAGAAACACGAATGATTTCCACTACTACAGCAAAGCAACAACTGTTCTAATTCTATGGCCCAGCAAATTTCAGAATAAAACAAAACTGAAGTTCTGCTACACAATTGGAATATTTAGTTTTCAAAACAGTGTTAGGACTCCACAGTAAACAGAAACCTATTTTAAAAATGGATTATAAAATATTTTGTAATTAAAATAAAAATAGTGCTGTATGAAATAAAGTGAATTAAAGTTTTGATTACTTACCTACACCTTTATGTGCATCAATACTAGTATATTCAATTGTACCATCATGACATCTTTTAGGGTCTTCTTTATATTTTTTGTGCACTCCTTCTGGACAGTATCGATATGCAAGGCCATAATCAACCAAGTATACCTATTAAATCCCACATACCATATAGAAATTAAAAACAAAAACTATTAATATAGAAGAGTTCATATACAAAAAATACTAGAGACAACTCTCCGAACTTCTTTAAAACAAAAACTGCAAAACGTCAGCTCTTTGGATTACAAAGCTCATTTATTAATTCTTAAACGAGACGTGTATATACCATTCTGAAAGCGACAACAAATTTTCAGTCTTTGTATGTACTATATGAAAAATGACAACCAGTTTTAAATATCATTTATTGTTGATCTAGACGCAGTGCCAAGAAAAATGTTCAGTTCTTATCTAGGAGCATGCTGGATTACAGTGGTCTATGGGACAACTGTAAGGGAGGCTCACAGTATTGATATCAGGGATTAGAACACATTTATGATACTGTATTTCTTTAATATACATATAAAGCTAGTTCTGCTGATCTATTACAACAAAAGGGGTTCTGCAAAATAATAGACGCCAGGTATTACTCTTCATTATTCCCTGGTTACTTCTAAATAGACTGACATTCGTTTTTCTATTTTGTCAGGTAAACCATTTGGACAAGGAAATCTGCAGAAGTAGGGAAATTAAATGCACACTTTCCAAATACTAAAGGGTTTAAATATTAGAAAATGAAATATATTTCTGAAAAATCAATTGATTTGAATAATCAACATGTTAAGAGACCAAATTTTCCAAGTAACAGAACACTTGTATTTGATGGATTCTTAAACAAAGGAAATAAAAAGTGACAAAAGCAGACAGGCAAACATAATTCTTTGGTGTACTATATAATTTTAAGCTTCCACCACCAAATAGCTATTTGAAATTCATTTTGTATTACAAGCCCTCCTCCTGAATATTATTTAGGGCAGAATAGCCAACTTGATAATGTGCCAACAAACAGCATCAAAAATGTAGAATATTAAATATTTCTGCTTGACATTTATATCACTGTATACACTCTTAAAAATAAGACTTCTACAAAGGTTCATAGGTTCAAAGCATCTCAGTTTGTTTTCAAACAACAGAATTTAAACAGGAGAAATGAAGCACGGATATCAAATACCTGATTAAGATTCTTGTAGCTCAGGAGAAGGTTTGAGGCCTTGATGTCTCCATGCACATATTCGTGCTCATGGATATATTCCAGAATATCAAGCTAACAAAACACAATGTACAGGAGCATCAGTGTAGTACCCAACTCCAGCCAGCAGAGGACCACTATTCAGCACAAATTGCCTTTCAGCAAAAAGCTATATTAGGAAGATGAATTTTAAAAATGCTTTAGGAATTACTATTACTTACTATTCTCAAACTTAACTTTAACACAGTTTTGTGTGCAAATTGCTTCGCATTCTCTTCATAAATTTTCTGAAGATCTTTCCCAAATCGGTCCATTACCATAAACCTATAGCTGAAATTCAAATCAGAGAACAAGTTACTGAACTGAAGTTAGTACAATATTTTACATGTGTATTTTATCCTATTGCACTAATGACTGAATTCAACCATTTTATTTTTACAATAAAAATCAGCTATGCAGGCAAACAAACATTTACGAACACTAGAATTGTTTGTACTACACTTCAACCCTAATACATTTGAACCTCCTTAATCTGGCAACCCTTGGAAACAGGGTATGCCAAATTAAAGATTTTGGTGGACCAGAGAGGGCACTGTGGGGTCTGGGTGTGAGGGGGATAAGTTCCCTGCTCTCAGGGCCACATGTGGCTCTGCCTCCCCTCTCCTCCTCCTCCTGCAATGCTCCCAGGCACCCACCATGGGAGTGACAGGGGAATAGACGCAGGTGAAGTGAGTCGCATTGCTGCTATCCCCCTTAGTTGTAATGTTATACTTTCTTTTGCATCCCAACATCACCTGAATTGAATTACTTTACATCAGATTACTGGATGATGCAAGGTCCCATTCAGACAAACGTAGGTCTTCTCACACTTAAGGCTATTTGCACTAATTGAATTGACCTGCCATTGAAAGTTAACACTGCTGTGCAAGGTGTACCAGATCCCAGACTCTACAAATTCCACAACTACTTGTCACGGATCTCTCTTCCTCCACCACTTTTTCTGCTCATGTCATCCAGCCCGCTAGAGTAACCACTACTGTTAGCTAGGCCCATACCATCTCCATTAGCTCTCAGCAAAGTACCTATTTGTAATTCCAAAATTTCTAAGAGCATGCTTTCATTGAAGTGTAGATCACAGATGGACTTTTTTTGGAGAAAATGGAAGAGAAGGATCTGTCCCTAATCACCATATATAAAGGGATGAGGGAAACCAAAGTAAAAAGGGGTCCTTTTCTTGTTCCTTTACCACATTTGGCATGGATACAAAAATAGAAAGATACACTTCGGCTCTATGGGCCTCCTCTTAAACTACATAGAACTGCAATGGCCACCTGACTCCTTTAAGATGGTTTCCTAGTTGAACTCTCCCACTTTTCCTCTCAATTCTAATAGCAGGATGCTAGGAAGGACAATTAGGGAGATACAGCAATTGCTTAGTAAATCCCATATTGTTATTCCCATTGACTACATGACTGGCTGAACAAGAAGTAGTACTGAGTGGACTTTAGGTTCTTAAGCTCTATTGTTTACATTAGCTGTGAGTGCTTCCTTGGAAGGGTATGCTTTTGGGCAGCCATATAAAAAAAGATTTGGTTCTTTCCCAAAAGCCTCTATGGGTATTGCAGCAGCTGACAACTGTCAGGACACAAAGTCACCCAAGCTCCTGCTTCTCCCCACATCCAGAGTATGCCCAAACCTCTGGTGTGGGGAAAAGGCAGATACATATAACTGATTCTCTGGCAATACAGAGAAGCTAAAATCATGTTTATCCCTGACTTACTTAATTCCTCAGACTCACATGAAATAATATAGAAACCTAGCCTCAAATTTCTGATATAAGAATTGGACTGTCTACAGCTCACAGATGAAATAAAAAAGACTTTCGATCTCAAGAATAAAACTGATTATAAAACTACTAAGTGTAGTTAAGTAATGCATTGCTTTCTTTATACATGTGAATTAAAAGACTAATTCTGCACCCATGTTCAGGAAAATTAAAAGAAAAATTTTTGAATTTGGCTCAATGGTCAAGGATTTATGAATTAAAAGCTGGACTCTGAGATGGATATATATTTCACAAGACTGAAAGGCAACTCCTAATACATAAATATATTACAGTATGTACATTCATATTACCATTGCCTGATAAATGAACAAGGAAAAAGAAATGGCTCAAATTACATACTCAGAAAAATTATGCAAATAAAAATATGACTCAATGTAAACGTGTCTATTCTGTAGGCATATGAAACTAACGGGAGTAATATGCTCAAAATTGACACTAACGTATAAGAATTTATAAAAGTAGTAGTGGTTGTGAATGTAGAAATGTTAACATGTTCTTAATACAGGATGTACTGTACCTGTTTCCATTTTTTTGATGCAAGCCAGAGCCCCAGTACTTCGGTACACCTAGGTATTTCAGTTTATGGGAACTAGTCCATTTCTGAACTAAAAATACAAATAAAAACTGAGATTATGAACTTGTACTGCATGAGTACTGTGGAAAAGATTACTTATAAAATATTGAAAATGTACATATGTAAGATCTGATCATGAGAAGTCATGAACCAAGTATATCAGCCAACAGGTAGTCTCTTCTACCTATGGCTAAATTTGGTAATGAAACCTCTCCTAACCTGAACAGGTTTTGATAAAGGAGATCCAATTATAAAGAATCCCAATATTAACACAACTACAAGTAGTGTTGTTAATTACATACAAAAAAGTTAACTGCAAGACTACAACTTATTGCTTATTGATTTAGTTGGGTTATTCCCCCAAACAATGCCTCAGCTATATTTAAGTTATTTCAGATTACTATTTTTTCTTCTAATATCATTAAAATCTCGTGTGGCTTTAAACACTAAGAAAATCCTGTTTGTTCCTGTGATATTACAAGCTGACCCACAAAGATCTGACCTTAGGTGTGAGAAAAAGCACTAGAGTATCAGTTCTACTCCAGTAACTCTTGTTTCTAAACAATTATCTTCAATAATTATCCATTTAGAAAAAAAACAGTGTCACTGTAAAAAGAAACAACCATTTATGACTGAGGAATACAATTAAGAATTGTAAGTGAATACAAGGTCATTTTAAAAAAAAAATGGATCTAAACTGACTCTCTTGAGGAGTCAACTAACATTTAACTTTAAAGGCTACCACTTAGTCTTTTTTTTTAATAATCAACAAAATTATTATTTATATGGAAACATGGCTTTCTAGTTCATTCTGATGGACTACTTACTTTGCTCTGGTTTGGCTGCTCGCATGTAGAACTTTAATTCAGTAAAAAGAGGTCCATTTTGGCTGGGTTCCTTTAAAACAGTAATTTAAAAATAGTTAGCTTTAACTGTTTGAGCTATTCAGAATTACATCTCTTAAAAACCAAACAAGTGATATATACCCACATATAAGCATATCACTCTTTACCACACAACATTGGATAGTTTAATTTTAGAATTCACTAAGAATTCATTCCCTGTGTACAAAAAAGAGTTTTAACAGACATTGTTCAAAAAGTACTTAGTGTAAAGAAGATCAGGAAAGTATCCCTCCAACCTGCTCTTTAATCTGTATTGGGTAAACTGGTCATATTTTTCTTTAACTTTGTCAGAGGACTGCCTTAGGTGGTGTTATTAAATACACTTTTGTCATCATCTTTAGGTTCTCTGAATGAAGGAAAATCTCAAATTTTAAAATGGTTGGAGTAAGAAGTATACAAAACTGCGCTCTAAATATTTTTGCTTAGAGTACACCACCCCTTAGAAGTCTTGAAGCCCTGGGTCGTTACAACTGTATGTCCTTACAAGGTAATGCCTGCTAGTATTAGGGATGTTAAGCATGTTTATTTATGTAAACATGAAACCACTAACTTTTTCCAGCAGTTACACATTTACAGGCAGGGGGCAGCATGTATCAATACAGAAGCAGCAGCATGGGGCGGAGGATGGGAGCCAGTACACACAGGGAACCAGTTTGGAAGCAGTCTTCTCATGTGTACCAGCTTTCACTTACCCCCCTTATCACTCCCATGTTGCTGCCTCTCTATTAGAGGCAGCAAGGGGGTAGAGCAGAAGCCAGTGCTGGGGGGAGCTGGCTTAAAAGCCAGTTTCTCCCAGCACGATCTCTAGTCACGATGTTAACTAGCAGTTAATTTACTAGTCGAGTAGTCGATGGAATTTCCATCAACTACTTGACTAGTTGACAGGCACTTCTGCTTTCTTCCTTTAAAATGTACAAGAACCCCTGTTGGTGCTTTTCCAACCACAGAGATGTTAAATTTTATTACATTATGGTCATTATTTCCAAGGACTCTACACTTGTCTTTGTTGAACCTCAGATTTCTTTTGGCCTAATCCTCCAATTTGTCCAGTTCACTCTGAACCCTATCCCTTCCCTCCAGCATCTCTCTCTCTCTCTCCCCCTCGGTTAGTGTCATCCGCAAACTTGCTGAGGGTGCAACCATCCCCCAGTCCAGGTCATTCTTCCCTTTTTTAAAGATGGGCACTACATTTGCCTTTTTCCAGTTGTCCAGGACCGCCCCCAATCACCACAAGTTTTCAAAGATAATGGCCAATAGTTCTGCAATCCTATCAGCCAACTCCCTCAGCACCCTCAGATGCATTAGATCCAGCCTCATGGATTTGTGTATGTCCAGCTTTTCTAAATAGTTCTTAACTTGTTCTTCCTCCACTGAGGGCTGCCCACCTTCTTCCCATACTGTTCTGCCTAGTGCAGCAATCTGAGAGCTGACCTTGTCTGTGAAGAGAGGCAATAAAAAAAAGCATTGAGTACTTCAACTTTTCCCACATCATCTGTCACTAGGTTACCTCCCTCATCCAATAAGGGTCCCACATCTTCCCTGACTACCCTCTTATTGCTTATATGCCTGTAGAAACACTTCTTGTTTCTCTTCACATTGCTTGTTAACTGCAATTCCAATTGTACTTTGACCTTCCTGATGACACCCCTGCATGCTCGAGCAATATATTTATCCTCTTCGCATGTCATCTGTCCAAATTTCCACTTCTTGTAAGTTTCCTTTTTACGTTTAAGCTCGCCAAAGTTTTCACTGTTAAGCCAAACTGATTGCCTACCATATTTGCTTTTTGCACTGCACAGCAGGATGGTTTGTTTCTACACCTTCAATAAGACTTCTTTAAAATACAACCAGCTCTCCTGGATTCCTTTCTCCTTCATGTTAGCATCCCAGGGGATCCTGCACATCAGTTCCCTGAGGGAGTCAAAGTCTGCTTTCTCAAGTTCACAGTCTATATTTTGATGCTCTCTTTTCTTCCTTAATCATCTCATAATCACTGCTGCCCAAGCTGCCACCCACATCAACTTCCCATAATTCCTCCTTGTTTGTGAGCTGTAGGTCAAGGTGACCATGGGCGCTGGCTGGTTTCTTCAGCACTTGTATCAGGAAGTTGTCCCCAACATCCTCCAAATCTTCCCGGATTGTCTGTGTACTGCTATATTGATTTCCCAACAAATGTCAAGGTGACTGAAGTCCCCTATGAGAACCAGGGCCTAACCTCAACCCCCGTCTTCTTTTCTCGTGACTAAATATGCTTAGATTTTTTTTTACAACCTTTCCTCAGAGGTCAGGTTTTTTAAACATTTATAATTATTTTTGTTGCTCTCACCCAGATTATCTCTAATTGCCTATATCTTTCTGCAAATCTGGCACCCAGAATTGGACACACATATGCCAACTGAGGTCTCACAAAGTACAAAGGAGGACACAGCAATTATCTCCCTCTCTTACATACAACTCTCTTGGTAATACACTCTCAAATTGTATTAACCTTTTTCACACTGACAGCTCATTCCATTTGTGATCTACTAAAATCCCCAGATCCTTTCCAGTGGTATTACTACCCAGCAAGTTATTCACCATTTTTAAGTTGTGTACTCAACTTTTCCTTCCTAACTATTGTACTTTATCATCTTTGCTGAACTTCACCTTGTTGTATTCAGATCAGCTGTCCAATTTGTTAATGTCATTTTAAATTTTAATCCTGTCTTCCAAAGTTCTAGCAACCCCTCCCACTTTGCTGTCACCCAGATTTTTAAGTATATACTCCATTCCATTATCCAAGTCATTGATGAAAATACTAAATAGTACTAAATCCAAAATGGGTGCTTATGGATCTCCACTGCTTATATCTCTAGATGCTTACAAACTGATTGCTTAATTATTTGTTCCAGTATTTTTTCAGGTACTGAAGTTATTACCTAGGGCCTCTATTTTTTCCCTTCTTAAAGAGAGAGATGTTTGTCCTTCTGCAGTCTTCTGGGAGCTCACCCATTCTTCAGGAGTGCTTCAAGGTAACTGCTAACAGTTTTAAGATTGCTTCAGCTAGCTCCTCAAGTACCCTAGGATGAATTTAATCAGACCTTAATTTGCAATTATTTATTGATTTAGAAGTCTGTTAAGAAGATCAGCACAAATGTGAAGGATTGGACAAGAGGAGACCATTTCCAAGACCTAATATTCCTGCACTTTCAAAATTTCTCCAGTGATCCTTAACTCAGTCCCCCAAGTCAGTAGTTCCCAACTGCCTGTCTGCAGACCTGTGCCAGTCCGAGAACCGCTGGCTGCCAGAGCTCAAGCTGTTTTTTTGTGGTGGCTCAACTCAGCAGCTGTGGTAGCTAATTTTGCCCGGCACTGGAGCTGAGGCGGTAGCAGGAAGCAGAGGAGCAGGAGGCACTTCCCTCTCTCCTCTCACCCACGTAAAGCAGCAGCCCAACTGTGGTTTTGCACTCCCCCGCACCTCTACCCACAGGGGCGCAAAACACGCTTGGGGAGTGTGGGGACGTGAAGGAGGAGGGAGTGTGCACACTGACAATGGCTGCTCCCTCTTCCCATGTGGCAGTAATAGTCACATTCCCTAGAGGGGGCAGTGGAGCTCTGCGGAGTGTGGGGGTGGGGTGGGGTTAAAGGGCAGAGGGTGTAGAGGTGTCAGTCAAAGAGTGTTAGGCACTGGGGACCAAGGAGCTGGGCTGGGGGTAAGCAGACCGACAACATATTATTTGCATATTCATTATTTACATAACAAACATGCAAATAAAATGTTGCTGGTCCACCAAAAGAGTTTGTGAATGGGTTTGCCTATCCACAATATAAAAAAGGTTGGGAACCACTACCCCACCTTGGTTTACAGTTGGCCGAGGCTGAACTGTGATGGACAATTTTTCCAGTTACTGATACTCAGGCTGGCAGGCAATCATGGAACCTTTAAAGATCAATTGTGCCAAGTAATCTACCTCTGAGAACCCTAGCATTGATCCAGTCTTCTTTAGATCGCCCTCATTATAACAAACAGAATTGTCACATACAATCTTGTAGAAAAAGGATGGTGATTGGCTGGATATCACAACAGACCCAGCCACCTGAGCTGCTGACTTGACCATATATTTGCCTATGCAGTTGTAATAATTAAACATGATAATTAAGCTTAACAACAATTTTTTCAAACACAGATCAGGTACAAGATTTCAATTAATTTCAATTTCATAGAAGGCTTGAAGAGTTTTCTGTTACAAAGATCATTTGTAACAAAAAAGGCTGACCAATTAATTTTAAAATGTGTGATTTTGCTTTAAAAATAGCATTTTAAACCAAACAAATTTACCTATACATTATCAGAAAATATATTCTGCACATAGATTAAGTGCAACAAGTTAGGGATCATTCATGTAGATATAACAAACATCAGCAGAACAGAATGTTTGAATTAATAGAGTGGGAGAGAAGAAAAAAGGGTACTAACTGCTTAACAAGTAGAGAAGACAGCAACAATACAATAATTTGGGTGCTAAGCACTTCATACTGGTGCAAAAATATCCTGAATACATAGTAATAAAAACAAGTGAATAATTTTCAGGGAGTTTATTAGTAGAAGTACTACAAACACAGTCAAATGGCAATTCGGTTATTAAAGCACAAGAAAAGAGTGTTATAATATCTTGTATTTCTTATCATGTAAAATGCCACTTTGCAGCTAATGATTATTTCCAACCACAAGCTCACAACCAATTGTCAAAAAAGGATATTTTATAGTTCACATGACATGACACACTGCTTCTGAAGTGATATACTGATCAAAATGGACTGTTTTATTCTAAATTAATTTGATCTTTAAATTGGAATAAAATCTACTATAACATTTATACTTTTTCACAGTAGGTCTACTAGTGCAGTAGATTTCACTGCTGCTGTACAAATGAGAAGACAGAGGGAAAATAAAGTGATATAAATCAGACTCAGGAAAAAAGTTCATACAGGGTGAACCTCTCTAGCCTGGCACTCTGGAGCGGCAATATCTGTGGTCTGACATGATTTTAGTTAGCTACATGTCCACTTATCATGGATGTAGCCAAGTTTCCTGTAGTCCCATAAAATTTGTTTAGAGCCACTAGTCCTCACACACAGTGTTCTTTGCTGTTATTTAGCCCTAATTTACCCCTAAATGTCTTTTAAGAGCCCAGTAAGGCTACGTCTACAATACACACCTTTTTCGAAAAATACTTTCAAAAGATACTTTTGAAAAAGAGCATCTAGACTACAATCGGTACTTTCGAAAAAGTAAGCAATCAAGTCTGGATGCTCTCTTTCGAAAAAGCTCAGTTTGCATTACATAGCGCCTTTTTTCGAAAGAGCACTTTCGAAAAAGGCATTATTCCTCATAAAACAAGGTTTTCCACAGTCAACAAAACAGCTGCGTTCTTTCAATTTACTGTTGACAGAACACGGTGGCAGTCTAGACAAAGGTAAGATTTTTCAAAAAAAGGCCACTTTTTTTGAAAAATCCCTGTAGTCTAGACATACCCTCTGTAGCGGAAGTGTTGGTAATGCTGTTATATATTATTGACCTCCTCTAGTTCAGCAAATAAGAGTGGATCAAATTAGGGACACATTCAGAGTAATCCAATGTAACCTACTTCTCAACAAGGTTGGGAAAAGAGCATGTTAAACTGGAAAAACATTAATGTAATACTTATTACTACAAACTTTAGCCAATAGTTGCAAGAATTTATTATCATTAACTACGAAGTACTATATAGTTTATTTTCTCCATTGGGAGCAACCAAAACATAATTTTATGTATACTTTTTCTCCATTCCAGAACTAGGTGAAAAAACTAAATAGCAACACTTTTTCTGATTCAAAGGTTAGATATTCACTTATACTTCAGTATTTAAACTAAGGGGTTTTTTTGGTTACAAACTCATACTAGGCTCAGTTCTCTTGTGTCTGAGTTCCATCTTGGCACAAGATATAGACACACACAAAAATTAGCTGCAACTCTAATTCAGCACCCTAACACTAGTTGGTGCAGTCATAGCGCTAGTCTAATTTATGCCTACTATAAAATTCCTGAAGGACGTTAGTGTAGGATTGGTGCAGCAAAGCTGTGCAATTCCCCTGGCCTTCACCCCATTTACTCCTGAAACAAGGGGAAGAGGCTAATAGGCAAATTTTTTTTTGTAAACATGTAACGGCTGAATTTTTCAGCCGTTACATGTTCACATGCAGGGAAGGGGGAGGGGGGGGCACCACGGCAGCAGCAGGGCAGGGGAGAGCAGGCAGGAGCCAGTTCCCTGAAAGCCCCGGCTCCTGCAGAGCTGTCTCCCCCTCCACTCCTGTGCGGCTGTCTAGGTTCATCGGTTAACCATTTAAATGTAAACACTATCACATACCTACTGTCTATACCAATTTTACACCAGAAGGAAGATCTCCAGTAGTCATTTGCTGTCATTTAATCCAGTCTGTGCTGCCTGAGTGGTGTAAAGTAAACAGTTGTGCTGCATGATCTGGGTCATTTTATCAACTACCGGATTTGTGCTGGTGACTTTCAGACCTGCCCTTTTACTTCTGATCTGTCACTTTTTATTACATCTCAACCTGTCTTGATATCTTGTCATTAACTTAAAATTAACACTAAATTCCTGATGTTCCCTCTGTAATCCTAATTTCTTCCTCCATTCTACCACTTTTAATAACATTATCATTCTAAGCGTCATTCAGAACCATAACCTTCAGGTCATTTTCAATTCCTTATCAACTGCCCTATATACCCAGGCTGTGTTCAGACTTTACCAACTGCCCGAATCAGTCCCGGCTCATGCCAGCTCCGGGACCTACCCCTGCTGTGGCTCTGCATTTAAAGTGTATTAAGAGCCAGGCAAGCAGGCAGCCCAGCTCAGTTCTGGCTTGCACTGGGTCCAGGAGCTCAGATTCCCCCATAGACAGGGGCTGCTGCCACCCCACACTGCCTCTTCATTAGAGGCAGCAGCACAGAGCGACAAATAGCCAGTCCACGAAGAGAGCTGGGTTTTAAACCGGCTCCCCTCGAGGACCAGCTCCCGCCTGGCATTCTGCGCTGCTGCCTCTGATATAGAGGCAGCAGCCTGGGGTGGCTGCCTTCTGGCGCAACCCTCGGGGACTACAGAATAGTCAACTAACCGATAAGAATTCATTAAGTTACTCGACTATTCAATTAACCGATATTTAACATCCCTAACTCACACTGTATGACAATACTCATTCCTGATGAGGGGATGTTTAATTGTAAATATACTATATGAGAGAATAAATAAATTCAAAGTTTCTCTTACCACTTTTATAACATAGGGTGCATCACTGCCAACCGATTTTGAAGAATTAACATCAGCTGTTAAAATATGAAGTGTATCAGTAGAATGAGATGCAACTATCATAAAACAAATACAACTATTACAGGTTGAACCTCTCTAATCTGACGCTCTTTAGTCCAGCAACATCTGTGGTCTGGAATTATTTTAATTAACCAGATGTCCACTTATCATAGGTGTGGCCAAGTTTCCCGCAGTCCCATAAAGTCTGTTTACAATCACCAGTCCTGGCTCTCAGTGTGCTGATCTGATATTTAGCTCTAATTTATCCCTAAATGTCTTCTAAGAGTCCTGTAAGCAGTGTAAGTGTTGGTAATGCTGCTGGACAAGAGAGACCTCCCATGGTTTGGCAAATCCTCTGGTTTGGCAGCAGTCAGGTCCTGAGGTTGCTGGACTAGAGAGGTTCGTGTTATGTCATTTGGGTAACTATTCTGCAAAATAATTAAATATTAATACAAGTATGAAGTGTTCAGTAGCTTGATGGTAGAATTATGCAGAAAACCAAGTTAAATTTCTGTCTTGATTTCTCCCACTACAGACATATAAAATGATGAAGTATTCCACCCAACTCCTTGCCATTCAGTTGTATCATCACCAGTGACTTACAGGTAATGCGTAATTTACAGTATGGCATACACATAGTAAGCAAGATCTCACATATCCAAAAATACTTTTTTGCTATTTTCCAATTCTCAGCTTGTCTGACTTATAGAAACTCCACAGGTGGAGTGTTAATGGGGGATTCCATGACAGACAATTTTAAAATACCAGATATACAGGGAGACTGGGCACACATCTGTACCAGCAGGAAAAGAGGCTCTCTCAGAGGGAGCATGATTATGCTTGAAGGAAAAGGCAACTAATTAATGCACACAACTGTATAAAATGAGCAGAGGTCTACAAGCGGAATGGGCAAAACATGCAGCAATGGTAAGCTAGAAACCCTGCTTGGCATCTGCCTTCTCTTCAAGACAGTGCTTAATCCTCTCCTACTGTTACCAATTCTTGTTAGGAGCACTTTGATTTACCAAATGATTTTGTAATCAATTACTGACTACATGCCACAGAATTCAATGCAATCATGACACAAACATTGGGAAGAGAGGCAAGACATCATGTCACACACTTGACTGAATATACTACAGTCAAAAGGGTCCTTGCCTAGTGTATGCGTCTAAATTTTCATCCCCTCAGCATTGGTGTGTAGAATGACAGCCATGACAGGAAGATCTTCATACTGTCCATTTATTCAAACAACAGATACATTTAAGGATTAGGTGCTATATTAAAGAAAAATGCATTATTTTCCGCACATTTTCTCATAGTCAAATAGACAGCATTACAAAATGAAATCCAAGAATTTCACTGTCAGGGTATTTCATACATATTGCAGGGAATTGGTTATGTAATATCAAGCACTTGACCCAGGTTCAAATGCAACCCTGCAAAGAAGCGGAATGCTGTCATCTGTTGGCTGGTCAACATCCTGTATCAAATGAGTCAGTAGTCTCAAATTTAGTATTTAGGTACCAAGTATCCTTATGACAAATAAAACCAGCAGACAGAAATTAAAGATCAAATTATCATGGAGACTGAGCTATCATCTCATGTCTACAGATAGTCCTCCAAAGTCAGAGTTGATATGCCATGCCAGGGCAGAGTGGGGATACCTGAAATGCTGGTGCCACACCACAAGCTCTCACAAGTACTAAATTTTAATTAAAAGTGCAATAGCAATTAAGATACTAAGCTAATTAAATATGGGGAAGGGGAAATTATTAAATCTATCTACAAACATTTGAAAAATAGTATAAAGAAAATGAATGATTTATATGGAAGAGAGACTGTCACTTCAGCTAAGAAAAAAATATGATTTCTCATATGACGTAGCTAGGGATAGAGTAAGAACCATGAGGGACTTCCAAACAACTTATTCATGACTATATCTTTAATACCCTCTAATAACTATCTTCACCTACATCTCTCCATTCTGCAAGAAAAAAAAACTAAACATCAGCTCTAACAAAAATGCTGTTAGTTTGAAGACTGTCTTTATAATCTATTATCCCAATTTTGAAGAGGAGAGAAACACTTCAAACCTTCATTTTAGAAAGAGATAGTTTGGTTCACAGAAGCTTACCAAGATACAGGCATCCAAAGCCACCTTGACCTATAGGCAGGCCTAATTTCCACTCTTTTTTTGACGTGTCTGTTAACACCTCTCCAGGAGCAAACTCTTCTGCAAGCTTCCTCTTCACAGGACCTCTTTTTCCAGATGTCTTCTTTATATATGGCATTTTCACTATAAGAAGTAAATGCCAGGGTTATAAACTGAGCAGATTTTCCTTTCACATCCTTATTATACTCCATATGCCAGTTTTTTATGCTTTCTTTGCTCATTACAGACTTCCACACAGCAATGATGGGTTGTTTAAATTGCCAAATTGTTACTTTTTAACAATTTAAAGAAATGTGCAAGGTAATCCTGTAGGCATGAATCCTAGGTGAAAAGCAATGCATATTTCTTCAGGGATCAGAAAAAAAAATTTCAGATTATTAAAAATCTGATAAAAAGTAAAAGAGGAAGCTTCAAAACAAAAGATTCTGTATTAGCAGGCTTTGCATAACTTAATTCATACTGGAGAATTACAGAATCTATTTCATTTGATAATTAATTATGAGCTAACAATATGAAAATATATTTAGCTGTGATATAAAGGCTTCATAAAGCTTATTATATTTACAAATGTTTCATGTAGTCCATTTCTTCAAAAATAGGAGTCCTGAAGCTAGAAAAAGAGCCTAAAAAAAGAACTCTCAACTTTCTCCATAACCATGTTTTCAGTAAACTTTGTGATTGGCATTATGCCACAAAGATCAAACACCTGTAAGAACTATTCAAGTAATCATCTAATGTTCTCCCAGAAATCTGAATCTATCAAAAATGCAACAGTTGACTTACTGTAACTCAGAAAAACATTTACAATAATCTAGAAAACTCAACACTTAAAAAGATAGCCTCTTGTTTAAAAGTTCTGAATAAAAACTTTATTTTTGCCTCCTGACCTTAAAATCACAGGTTAGGAAAACAACACTTTGAAACTATTAACTTAGTGGCTTCATCACAGTTAAATAAATATGTCACCCTTCAGAAGGGCCGAGACCCTTCACTAGACAATAAGCCTGTTTGAGTTCTCCAATGAGACAAGAATCAAATTTTCATTTAATCAATTATTTCTGTGTCTTGACTGTTTGGACATTACGTGTCAAGGAATGCATATACATCATTCATGTGAAAAGGCCTTCTTAATGTGTTTTACATAGAACTTGATCTGTATCTTCTTTAGGATAATGACAGCAGCAATATAATCGCACCCAAAGCCTACTTATAAAAAAAAAATACTGTTATAACTGGGCTTTATAACAACAATGCTCAATTTGGGAGGTTCCTAGACAGCAGAATAATGATTTGTATTGCTTCTATGTTATCCTAGTTCTTAAGTAGTCCTATGATGTCTGTGTCATATTTGCGACGAAGTGGAAAGTGTTTCATTCCCACATTTCAGCAACTTCCTCTCTGGATCCCCGGTGCCCTCTTTTTCCTTGTCTCTTCTCCCCCTGGGTGTTGCTGGACTTCTGTTCCCGCCTCATCAGCTTCCCCTCCTGGCTGTAAGACACTTATGAGGCCCTCTCTCCAGCTCCCCACATCACAGAAACTGCATGCCTTCCAACTGTAGCAGTAGTCCCAAGCATCATAGTCCCTTCCTGCAGTTCCCTGGTCTGAATAGCAACTCCTTTTCCCCCCAAGCAGCCTAGTGCCATGTCAGACTAAGCAACAGTCTCCTGGAATCATGGAGTATAAGTATCATGTTCCCATCAGCTGCGAGCACCAGTTACTGGCAAATAAGTCATGCCCCCTACCTAAAAATTCGGCATCCAGGAAATGGGCCACTTAGAGGAAAAAGAAAATGTCTTAAAAATGCTTTCATGTCCCATTCCCAAAGTAAAAGAAATAATATATTGTTCTACTCTACAGGAGCATCCTAAACATGCACAATTTCATTAGATAATAGAAATACACTTAACTCATAGCACACGTACACACATCAGCAAAGAACAAATTAGAAATCACTACCACAAGATAAGGGTACCTCTAAAATTATTGCTAAGAGCCATTCAATACTATTACTCACACCTGTCACAGCTGAACCTTCTAGTATCCAAAATGCAGGTTTTTAAACTTTTAATTGATATCCAATATTTCAAGCTATTACTGTAACACCAAATTTTATATATATTCCAGATACAGCTTTGTGACACTTTATTTTAATTTATAAAACAGAAGTTTACCCAAATTTGCATTTGGTCCTCTTAAAATGTTTCTCTTGATCCTTGCGTTTTTTTCTTAAAGAGATACAATAGTATAGGATTCAAGTTAAAGATTTTCCCCCCATTTATAACCGAGGAGAAATCTGACTTGTGTGATTTGTACAAATTAAAATGTTACATGATCTAACCTGGCTGGTCTGAAAGAGACTGATCCACAAACACCAGGAACTACTACTACTTCTTCCCCACCATAATATACCTGACTTCAGAAAATGATTTAGTGACCAGTGCTGCCACATTTTCACAAAGAGATAGAATCTGAGCAGCTTATATTCAACATATATATTATTAGCTTTATTAATCAAGAGTTAATCAATCTATTCCACCATGTAATGTCACCATTAGATCTGCTGCTGACAAACTTGCTTACAAGGAGCAAAACAGTTTATTCAACTAACCCCACAAGAGGGCTTAGCAAAGAGTGCTTCCTCCCCCAAGTTTTCATCATCCAAAAGTTAAATACGAAAATTAAAGACAGTCAACATGACATCCCTTTAACCATAAAAGTGAAAGCTCGGAATGGACAGAGATTGACTGTTTCCAGCTGAGAATCATACACTTAAATACACTAGATACGCATAGATGGGCATGAATGTAGACAGTCAACTAAACCATGTGTTAGGATGGCATTGTGCCCACTCACAAGTTGGTCAAGCTATCACTGGGTCAGATGCCATGCAACTGTAGTTTTAAAAGGACAAAACACAAAAGACAAGCACTGTTTTGCAAAAAACCTGGCCTTTGGAAGTACTGAAGCTCTGGCTCCCCATACTTCTGCATTTGAGATCATGTGTTCAGGTATGAACCTTCTCAGAAGTAATCCAGTATACATACAGGAAGATTTTGGGAGTGGAAGCAATTGTAGCCAATTACAACATATTATTAAGACAAAAACATTTGAAGAGACAAGGTAAACATCAAAAAAAGGAAAGAAAATAAAATGCCTTTTATTGCTACTTTTGGTGTTGTACATAATTTGCTAAGATTGAATGGACGTTAAAAGTTGTGGACCACTGTACTTTTAATTTAATTTTAGATACATCACTGGACTATTTCCCTCGGCATATCTGAAGGACATCCCTTGTCTCAAAGCATCTCTCTCTCTGTCAGTCGTATACAATTAACCACGAAATAAAATTTGCATATTTAAAAATAAATATTAATTCCATATTATCTTAAAATGCTTTACAAAATGATGCCCCAAAATCACTCACCTTTAGGGAGGACTACTGCAGTTATTTTACAATATACAAGCAGTCCCCGGGTTACATGGATCCAACTTACATCGGATCCCTACTTACAAACGGGGTGAGGCAACCCCGCACTAGCTGCTTCCCCCCAGCAGACCAGGGAGACGTGGAGCGGCTTTTCTCAGCAGACACCTCAGCTTGAGAATAAAGGACTGAGGGAAGTGAGGTGTGGGAGAATAAAACTGAGCTCTGGAGAAATGTTTGGCTAGAGTTTCCCCTACAATATGTACCAGTTCCAACTTACATACAAATTCAACTTAAGAACAAACCTACAGTCCCTATCTTGTACGTAACCCGGGGACTGCCTGTAGTAGTATCAGTATTTACATAGCAGGAAAATTATAACAAAATGAAAGTGTAGGGGGGGTGTTAAGGTATGAACAAATAAAATGTACTCAAATTAGAGTAAAAAAATCACACATACAGAACAGCATAATACCCAACTAACACCACAGTAGGACATATGTTTAATACAGACTTAGACAACTTGAAATTTCCTACATCATCATAGATTTTTTGGTTCCTGAAGTGTCCCACAATGGGAGACAGTCAAAGATCTCAGGCTCAAACATCTACACATCAACTGTTAGCCCCACAGACTGACCACCAGGAGCCCCAAGATAGCCACAGCCAGAGCACAGGTATTTTATTTCAGTGTAAACATAACCTTTGCGAGGAAAAATAATCTATTGCCCCCAATAAACATATTGTTTAACCAGTTAACTGATTAAATGAGGATGGTTGGTGGTGCAGGGGGCTGCTCCAGCCCAGTCAGAGCAGCCCCTGCCTGTGGGGGGAGGGAAGGGCGCTATGAAAAGAGGCTGCTCTGGATGACCGGAGCATCCCCTGCTCATGGCAGGACCCCTGCAGGGCTAGAACTGCCCTGGCAAGGAACTGCTCCAGTCTCCACTGGTTAACTGGCTAAACAGTTACATCCCTAGCCTATAATGATACATAGTGTCATACGATGAAGTTTTCTATACAGTAAGTCACCTGTCTACACCTAAGTCAAAGTGGGCAATAATTTTTGAAGGGGGGCCACTTCAAAATGTTTTTGAAGTGTTTGCGGGCTGCCCTGGAAGGAGTGAAGCCTTTAAATAGCAGGAGTTGAAAGGGCTCCCACCTCCCCTGCACTCCCAGGCATCACGCTAGCAGGGGGTGGGAGCTACGAGCCCTTTCAACTCCTGCTTTTGAAAGGGTTTGCTGCACCTGGCCTCCCTGCTAGTGCATTGCCTAAGAGGTGGCATACTAGAGCTCTTTCAACTGCTTCTATTTAAAAGGGCTCATGCCTTCCCTATGGCTGACATCGCCTAACAGCTGTGAGGACGGCACAAGCTCTTTCAATAGAAGTTGAAAGGGCTTTTGCATCCCTGGATTTCAAGCAACACACTAGCTCTGGGGCCGGGAGCCACGAGCCTTTTTAACCGCTACTATTTAAAGGACTCGCATGAGACTAAAGGAGGGAGGGCCAGGAACTGTTGCAAGGGCTGGATCAAAGAGCTAAGAGGGCCTGGCCTGCTGACAGGCTTTTACCCACCCCTGACCTAAGTGCTTCAAGAAACCAACCACTATGCAGTGCAGTATCACTACTAGATTGGTGAGTACCTGTATACTGTTTTATACTTTCATTTTTATTGTATACTAATCCTTTGAAAATTGGTATTCCATTGGTAATTATAACTGTTAACCAACCAGAATGTTTGGCTAACCAGCACCTCCCATTTCTCCAAAGAGAGATAACAAAGGTTTCTATTTTCTACCTCTCAAGAATATTGTGAAACTTAATTGCATTCACACTCAAAGTGCTTTGAAATCCTTGGATGTACAATGCTATGTAGATGTCATATATTATACTGCCTCTGAAGTACTGAAAATATTTGACCCTGCTAACTGACAGGAATATATTTTTAAAGAATATGGTTGCCCCACTGTAGAGGGCTGTGTGCTCAGAAATTGCATAGAATTATATTATATTTTGCTCCTAACAAATAGAAAAATTACAACAGAAGTAGAGGGATGTTTGAACTCTTCTCCAAAACCACTTTAGAGAATACAAGGTCACTGCTTCTCCACATGCTATGCTTGAGATGTACATACAATTTAGCAATTTTATCTCATCAGTGATCTTTTTATAAATGCAATCTGTACTACTGTTGTGCTCTTAAATAAGCTTGAGTAGGCATTTCCCAGGTTGTGTTTTCTACCATTCTCAGTAGAAGTCAAATGAATATAAATCAAATTCATTTTAAGGAAGTATTTCTGTATGTGGCCATTCAGAATGACTATACTGCTGAATTCTTTTCTGATCTGGTTCTTTCCTAATTGTCTAAAAACTGTCATTTTTAGATTTGATTATTTCAATAGGATCTTTCAGCATAGAGAGGACAGTGCTGCTAACCTATGATCCTTTTAGTCAATAGGCAGTTATAGAAAGACATGAAATCTGCACATTATTTATACCACTTACTCATTGCAGAATTTGGGATGCAATAGTGTAGTCCATTAATGGACGAGCAAAAGCGTATCGGTTAATGCTATAGGCTACATGCATCCCTTCCCCTCTCCCACCCAATAATTTTTTTTAGCAGGCTGTCCAGCAGCCCAGCTCAGTCCTAGCTTGCGCTGGGTCCAGGACCTACCCCTGCTGTGGCTCTGTCTTTAAAGTGTATTAGGAGCCAGATAGGCAGGTAGCCCACCTCAGTCTGGGTCTGGGAGCTCAGACCCCACTGGACAGGGGCTTCTGCCATCCTGTGCTGTTGCCTCTGTATCAGAGGCAGCAGAGTGGGATGAGACAGACAGTCCACGAGGGGAGTTGGTTTTTAAACTGGTTCCCCTCATGGACCAGCTCCTCAAGAGTGAGCCCCTGGGGACTATGGAATAACCAAGTAACCCATAAGAATTCATGACGTTAATCGACTATTCAATTAACTGACATTTAACATCCCTATGGAGAACTCCTCAAATCTTCCAGAAAAAAAAAATCCTTCCTCTTCTCCACAAAAAGACACTTTTTAAACTTCTGAAATACTTCATTTAAATTGTGTGCAGTTTTAGAATTTGAGGTTTTATTCAAAACAAGGGATGTATTCTTGATGATTTCTTAAAGGCACCATAATAGCCACAAATATTTCATATATTTCCAGAATCAAAACCAGTAATTTTTACTAGGGATGTTAGATATTGTGAAACTGAATAGATGTGTAACAGCATGAAATCTTAGTGGCTACAGACTATTCGATTGTCCTCGGAGGCAGGGCTGGCAGCCAGTGTGATCTCGGCCTCACTCCCAGGATGCTCCCTGCCACCCCACCCTGCTCGCTCGCTCGCTCTCTCTCTCTCTATCAGAGGCAGCAGCACAGGATAACAGGCAGGAGATGGACTGCCAAGGTAGCCAATTTAAAAAACACCTCCCCACGCAGACAGCTGCCTGCCACCCCACGCTGCTACCTCTGATACAGAGGTAGCAGTGCAGCAGCAGTCCCTGTCCGCAGGGCACCCAAGCTCCCCACACACAAGAGTCTAGTCCACAGCAGCAGCCTCTGTCCCTGGGGACCTCAGACCCCCTGCGGACAGAGGATGCTGCTGCTGACCAGCTCCTGTTCATGGAAGCAGCACAGAGAGTGAGAGGGCAGTATGAAGCAGATACACATGGGGAGACTGCTTTCAAGCAGGCTCCTCTTGTGTGCCCGCTCTGGGGACCCACCTGCCCCCCCCACTGCTGCCTCCTACAGAGGTAACAAGGGGGGGACAGGCAAGAGATGGTGTTGGGGGGAGCCAGCTTAAAAGCCAGTTCCCCGCAGCCCCAGCTTCATGGTGTCGCCTGCCCCTCCACCCTGCTGTCTTTATCAGAGGCAGCGGCGGCGACAGGGGAGGCTGCCGCAAAGCAGCCTCTATCCACAGTGGCCTGGGTTCACTGCAGACAGAGGTTGGTCCACAGCAGAAGCCCCTGTTCATGGGGGGGTCCAAGCACCCCATGAAGGGAAGCCACTCTGCCTCTCACAGAACCGCCTCTGTCTGTGGCTAGTCTGGGTCCACCATGGACAGAGTCTCGTCTGTGGCAGCAGCTCCTGTCCGCAGGAGGTCCAAGCTCCCCACAGACAGAGACTGTTGCTGTGGACCAACCTCTGTCCATAGGGAGTACAAGACGGGGGGACTCGGTAAAGGTGATTTCCCCCAGTACCATCTCTGCAGGAGGCTGGGGAGGCAGAGGGACAGAGGGAAATGGCGTGAGCAGGGACTGCTTCAGTCCCCACTTGTGCCAGTTCCCACTGCGGGTGCTTCTGCTTTTGAAACGTGCAAAAAAGAAGTGCTGCAGGAAGCACAGGGTTAGCAGGGACTCAAGCAGTCCCTGCTCACCCCGTGCTCTCTGTAGTACCCCTCCCTTCTTGCTGTCTCTCTGAGAGGCAGTAATGGGGACAAAAGGAGTTGGCGCTGGGGAAATCTGGTTTAAAAGCTGGTTCCCCCCAGAACAATCTCCAGGGTGCCGTATGCCCCCCTCCCCACCTCCGGCCTCTGTTGCGGCCAAGCAACCCCTGTTTGCAGCAGCTAGGGGTGGACATGGGTAGGGGAACATTCAGGAAGCATCTCCTGTCTGCAGCCAATCCTGGCTGCCATGAAAAAGGGCTGGTGCCAGAGCAGTCTCTGTTTATAGTGGCCAGCCCTGGCTGCTGCAAACAGTCCCAGTTCCTGCTAATCGCCCAGCAGCTCTTACTACATTTAAAACGCAGAGCTGCAGCATAGGTGGATCTGGAGCTGGCACAAGCCAGGACTGCTCAATCCCAGTTCAAGTTGGCTTCTCTGGAGCTACCCCCGCTGTAGCTGTGGTGCTTATCAACTAATAGACTATACAATTAACCAGATAATTGCATTTTAACATCCTTAGCTCCCACTACTCCCACCTCGTTGCTGCAGGGGGAGGGTGGGGAAAGGGGGAATGCGTGTAGTCAATAGGATTAACCGATAAGTTGAAATTTATCGGTTAACCATATAGTCGACTACATGTTGACATCCCTATTTTCTACAGCAAATGAAGGTCTAATTTATACAATAATTTTTTTCCTCCCTCAGGCCTTCTGTTACATGTTTAGAATAATGCTGCACATCTCAGATTAACTGGGGTTATTAAAAATCAATTGGCAGCAAAGTAATTGCTTCAGTTACAGCTATTTAAAAGTTCTTGCCTCTCAGTATTTATGTTCAAACTAAGCAGGGTGAACCTATATCGGTAGCTTTTAAAATATTTTATAAGGAAAGCAGAAGGCTGGGGAAACTGGACACAGACCTCTTCTCCCACAGGCAAAGACATTTTATTTTTGAATCCCTCAATACAGCTCAGACCTGCCAAGCCTAGATCTTTTAGAAGCAACCTCCCTGATTCTGGATTTAAACCATCTTCTCCAGACATCATTAATCTTTTGTACTTCAATGACATTTCAGATCTCCCTCAACTTTCTGACATCCATTCATACAATACTCAGACTGATAAATCCTTTCATATATTTTTATCACCTGGAAACATGTCTAGAAGCCATATTAGATATAACCCCAAAACCTCCACATCTCTGGACCAGCACTCAACACCCACACTACAAAGGAGCCCTTAAGAAGTATTTGGGGTAATTCTACAAGGAGTGTGTGGACTGCTGTTTTAATCATCATTTAGGGCCCCAAATGACCTGGAAAGTCAATGTTGATTAAGTGGTGGAATACATGTCTGTCTCAAGCAGCAATGACTTCAGTGAGGGTAACTTATATCAGGAAGAAGACTTAGTCTTCAAACACCACAAAACATTTTGCACCAGAAGAAACTCAAAATTCCCATACCAATGACAGAGAACATGTCTGGAAGGGCTCTCTTTTGAAATCCTTTGGGGACAAAGGGCTTGAGCCTACACCTGTACAACTCTGAGTCCTACAAAGGCTTTAAAAAAAAAAAGCCAACTCATCTCCACTCTCCCAGCTGCAATAGGATAGACGTCCCCGATCCTAACACATTTGGGCAGGATTTTAAGGATATATTTCTAATAAGGTAAAAATTATGTTTTTCTCCCCTTCAGTGGTGATGGATTTCACGTGTGTGTCCCCCTCCTTGGTCCCCCCAGAGAAGAAACACGCTTCGCCCTTATCTGCACGGGCCCTGTGGCCCTCTGTACACGTGACCCGCCTCCAACCCCACGGCCAGGGCGGGGCCCAAGCTGAGAAGCGGGGAACCGCGGGGTCGGGGGCTCCACGGCGATGCAAGTCCCACCCATGGGGAAGGGGCCGGAATGACGCTCCACACCTTCCAGTCAAGCCTCCGCGGGGGGTGTAAATGGAAGGGGGAGGGGGAGCCAGCCGGGATCGGCCCCCAGGGCGGGCGAGGGAGGCTGTTCCTCAGCGGGATGCGAGTGGGGCCAAACCTTTTCTTCGGGGGGGGAGACAGCTACAGCCTCCCCCTTCCCTTTCGCCCCGCCCCGCGGGGGGGGGGGGGGGGGGAAGAGGCTGAAGGTCCAGCCGGCTGCGCCCGCCTCCCCAGAGCCCCAGCGTCAAGTACCTCCTGGGTCTCAGGAGCCGGGCCCGGGCCGACTGCTCCTTCTGCCCTCTGAAATTCCCGCACTGCCCGAGCCCTCAGGCAGCCCGCCCGCCAGGCTACGCACATCCCACTATCGCCCTAGCCTATTGGCTATGTACCCGACAGAGCCCGCCTACACGGGAACGGAGGCTCCCGCGGACCGCATCGGCCACCGTTGCTCCCTCATTCTTCCCCGCCCCCTATGAGCCCGGTGCATCTTGGGGGTTGTAGTTTTTGCTCACCTGGCAGCGCCAGCCTGCGCTGTCCCTATGCGAAAGCATCACGAGCCGCAGAAGGGAGCCGCGTTCGGGAACGCCAGCTCGGAGCAGCTCGGCTATCTAATGAGTACGCCCAGGAGGCAAATGGAAAATGCAGCCAAGGAGGATGCATCTGCATAATTGCCAGCCGCAGGGACTCACAAATCCTGGGACTGGCTTCAAAGCATGAGATTTAACACTAAATGGGAGGTTCCCCCATGTCAAAGTCGCCACTCTCCTTCCATGCCAATACCAGACTCTAGCACGTGGATGAATTTCTGCATGTAACTGGATATAAGATAATATTAACGGATCTTTTTATTTTCTGTGGTTCTATGGGTACAACTTCACGAATTTCACAAATAAATCATTATGATGAATTATTTCATTTGTTTGATGTGCTGAGGAATTTTTCATTCAACCTTAAAGTTAGCTCGTTAGGCTCTAAATTCTCTGTTCAAAATTCAAATTCTGCATAATATTTTTTCATATATATCAACTTTACAAAATTCATGATACAGTTACAGACAGAATGAGATGAAGTGATAAAATGCAACAATATGGTTTGCTCCTTACAGAGCTTTCACAGGGTCAGAGCAGATTGTTCTCTAACAATAAAAGAATAAAATGTAGTAATATCTGTTGACAAGTAGATCGAGAGATTTCAAGCAGAGTTTGACTCATAAAACCAATATTGGGTGAGGACAATCAAATCACATCCACACTTACGTCTACCAAGTTGTGAATCTGGAAGATACATATAGCAGGACGAACAGAATTGAAGGAACGCCAAGAAGGGAAGAAAAACAGCTTTCAAGGGTGGAGGTTTTGCGCAAAGATCCCTAAACAGAGATGAATTGCTGGATACTCTTTTAATAAGCAGAAAATTAGAATGTGTTGATTGATCAAACTGTAATATGTCCATGATTATGGTACCTAGACATCTATTCTGTTTGAAAACCCTACCCCTCAGGTGCTCCCATATAATGTATTTTTACTGCTTTTCAACAAACTGCTTTGAATTCTATACCTTGCAGCCTGCTTAGCAAACTCAAAGAAAAATCAGAAAAATAAAAGTAAAGAAAGCAAAAGGTACTATGCACTGTAGCACTACCCATAAGATCATTCTTACAATGATTATGGAGGGGCACAGAGGCCAAATCTCATTGGGTGGCATTGTGACCCGAAATCATGTTCCTCCTGAAATTCAAAGGTGTTGGCACCTTCAATTCAAAATGTTGCTCCATCTCTAATTTTTGCATAACTGAATTAGAGAAAGCTCTTTTTGAAACATGTGGCCTTATAGTCTGAGCTGGAAACTCCATTGGACTCCTCTCACATGGGACCATTCCCTTAGGTTTTCTGCTTTGCTTTCCCCTCTTCGTAATGGGAATATTTCTTATGTATCTCTCAGAGATGTTGCAATAATATCTGTAGAGTGCTGTAAAGATACAATTAATATGATGCTGGATCATGCTTAAAATGGCTCAGACCAAATAGGATTATAATCCTGGCCAAAGAAAACAGAGCTCAGAGGTGCAAGCCAGATTTGTGAGAGGACATTGATACAGCTGGTCTGTAGTGATTCTTAACTGCCAAATACAACACATCATTAACAGAAAACCTGCAGGGTATGAATGGCAAGTACATCGTTACTTTGAGTATATCTGCACTGCATAGTATTGTCATGTGGTTTGATTTATTTTAGATCTGAGGGAAACCAGGACACTCCAGAGAGACTTGACCACTTTCTTATTTATTGCAAACTTAAAGCAGTTAATATAGTTGTTTAAATTTTACAAGCCTTAAAAATAATTACTATACAATTTAAACTTTAAATGCTATACATTCTAAACCAATTAGTACAGCATACAACAATGCAAAAGCAATTAATAGAAGATTTATTATATTACAATAATTAAGCTTAGTTCACTTAAACTTTACCTATATGCCGCTACAGTACCAGGCAGGAGCTCGTGGTCACTTTTACTTCCACTTTTCAGGACACCATGCACTACTATAGTCAGTGTAAAGAGTCTATTTACTTCTAGTTACAACAAACAGGACCTGTGGGTCAATCCTGCTCACTACCTACCATCAATTCTTCTTATTATGCTCATTTTATAGCAAAGCAATACTTGATTGTTCTAATAATATTTATCAATTGATTATGCATTGTGTAGGATACCTAAAATGCCCAATACTCTTATTTCGGGTACATCCTGCTACTCAGGATGTTGCAAAAACTATGTGCGTAGTTAACAGTTTTATGGCTGTATCTGGAATTTTTGCTTATAAGAAATAGAAGTACCAGTACAAGGTTGATTGTCCTGTGTTCATGATGCGGTCTTGATGTATGATGCTTAACCTGCATGATTGTGCAAAACATTTCTGCCTCCCAAAGCTCCCTCCCTACCCTCCAAGCCTTGCCTGCGTGCTTACGTGCACCAGACTTGAGACAGGCCTAGGTTTTGCTTGTTAGAGATCCGCACTGTGGTGGTCAAGGCAAACATTATTGTCAAGGCAGGGCCGTCCAGGCTCCTCTACAAGTATTTGCAGGTCTAGTACCCACGCATAATGACCCACACGATTTTCTAGCTCATTTTTGACTTCCCAAACCACAGTTCAGGACATGCTGCTTCCATTCATATCTGTGACAGGTTTTGTTCATACTAAAATAATGTAGTTCCTGCACTTTTCCTCACCTTTCCATTTTATACTGTTTTCTTCAGTGTATGTATAAAATAACTGAATACTTAATTTTTTATTTTATTTTTAAATAAAATACAGGCAGTCCCCGGGTTACGTACAAGATAGGGACTGTAGGTTTGTTCTTAAGTTGAATCTGTATGTAAGTCGGAACAGGCGCGCTTGGGCTGTCCCCCTATGGGCGTGCTCCACGGCTTTGCTCCCCGTCTCCCTGGTCTGCAGGGAGACGGGGAGCAAAGCCTTGGAGCACGCCTGCAGCGGGACAGCCCAGGCGCGCTGCAGCTGTCCCCCTGCGGACGTGCTCCGAGGCTTTGCTCCCCATCTCCCTGCAGACCAGGGAGACGGGGAGCAGCTTTTCTCGCCCCGGAGGACATCTCGCATCTGGGCGTCCCGCCGCTCCCGTCCTCCGGGGCGAGAAAAGCCCCATTCGTAACTGCTTTTCGTAACCCCATCCGACTTATGTCGGATCCGCGTAACTCGGGGACTGCCTGTAGTTGGGCTTGATAGAATTCAGTGGGGATTTACTTTGGTTCTGATCGATAATATCAATGTTTATTTTTAAGCTTTTTTAGATTTATCTATTTAAGTTTGCACATTTGTGCAAAATCATGGGTTTTAAATAAAAAGAACAAATATTAAAATTATCACAGTTGTCAAAAGTGATAGGGCAGTCAGACTATTTAATGACTATAGACATTAAGGTTCAAAAAGCTATAAGCTATATAACTGTTACAACACAAACTGTCATAACACAAAATATACAAATTAAGCATTCTTAAAACAAATTTAAGAATAAATCCTGCTTGAGAATTTACTACTTTGCCTATCTGAAATTTCAATATTAGATTAATCATTTTTTCTTCACTTTGAATGTGTACAGTAAAATAGACATTTACAGATAAAAATCTAATCTTTTTAAGCCTAAATATAGTATAAGAGCAACAGAACACTCCAGAGCCTTGTTGATCCATTAGTATACAAGGCAATCTGCCCAATGACCTCATGATGCTCCAAGATGTACCATGTATTAATAGGTGATTATTATTAATATATTAATATCCTATTGTGTTTTAGTGCTATTAATAACTAGTTAGAAACAAAATTGTTCCTGACACATACTTAAGGATTTCCCCATGTGTCATTTCCAGTGACAGATTTAGAGTTAGTGGGACCCTGTGCTTTATTTAAAAATAATAATAATAGTAACCTTTCCTCAGTCCACCTGAATGGAGTTTTCAGAGCAAAGTTTGAGAACTTCTGGTCTAGATGAAAACTTGTATTTGCATTAAGCCAACATGAAAAATGTGTAAAAATAAAATGTATAGAGGACGCATGAATGGAAAAATAAAAGTTAACTCCCTCTGAAGAAATGTATTCAATTTGAAAAAAAATCAGCTAGCTTTCTTTCTGTACTTTTTCTTTGCAAAATCGTCAAATAAGTCTTCCTAAGTGATATTTTGTAAAGAGGCACTTTCAATTGTCAATATTGCTGAACTTGTCAAATGTTCCTCCTTGTTCTCCTGCACCCCCCACTGCCCTCTCTGCAGAGGGACTGCCACTCACAGAGCAGCCACACCTCTGTGCATGGGTGGCAGGGAAGAGGACAGGGATTTGTCAGATCCAGTGTTGGACTGCCTAGCACTCAGGGCCCCGTGTCATTGAGGGAGCCTGTGCCAGGGCAAAGTATATTTCATTGAAAATCCACCCCAGGTCCTTTCATTAGCAGCAGCTAGCAAATTAAACAAATTATTCTATTATATTTAAACAAAGTTTTTACAAGATGAAGAACACAGTTCTCATTGATTAAGAAGCTAGATGAAGCTGAAAACATTATGCTGAGGGTGAATGTAACTGATATGAAAAGAGAGGTGTAAAACTAAAAAGTTTCATGTTTTATTCCATCTCTAACAAAAAGACATGAGGGTAAAAGCATTAATGCCCTTAATCTAGGATTTAATGAAAGATATTTTCCTGCAAAGGAAAGTGAATGATTAAAATGTATAATTTGCATTTCTCCAACACCACCTACTTCCACTCCTCTAAGCAGTTTATAAATACAGTGAAAGCTTTGTTATCCAGCACTTTGTTAACAACAAATCTTTGTTAACCAGCATTGCCCCAACCACAATACTGCCATCTCTTCAGGTGCACACAACTGACTCC